GGAGACAGGAAAAGAACCAATCCTGGCAAAGCGTAAGCTCTTTGAGACAAAGGATGTTGAGCTCTTTGCATCTTTCTTGGCCCTTAGGCATAAATAGACATACAAGCTCTGACATTTGGCAGACGGTCAGTAAACGTGAAATAGAAGCACGAGTCTTTATTGGAGGCCTACGTTAGGTTCTGGGGATCCCACCCATGGTGTTCCTTTTGCCTTTCAGGATTTCAGCCCAGTGGGGGACTCAGATTTACCCGCTGGCAGATGTAGTGGGTACCTCCTAAGTGCCAGGCACTGGGAGAGAGTGAGGCCAGAAAAAGGCAGCCTGGGTCACCATATTCATGCACCTCACATTCTAACACTACCTTGTGGGCACCACAGTCTTATTCTGAGAAAAAAATAGATACAGATTAATAGATGGATATGTATACACACACACACACACCCTGTGTATACAGTGGAATATTACACGACCATGAAAAAGGATGAGACCCTGCCACTTGCAACAACATGGATGGACCTAGAGGGTATTATGCTAAGTGAAGTAAGTCAGACTGAGAAAGACAAATACCATATGATTTTACTTACATGTGGAAACTGGAAAAAAAAACCCCAAATGAATAAACAAAGAACAGAATCAAATCTACAAATACAGAGAACAAAGAGATGGTTGCCAGAAGGGAGGTAGGTGAGGGGGGTGGGCAAAATGGGCGAAGGGGTGTAGGAGATACAGGCTTTCAGTTATGGAATGAATAAGTCATGAGCATAAAAGGCACAGCATAAGGAACAGAGTCAATGACATTGTAACAGTGTTGTGTAGTGACAGATGGGGGAGACACGTGGTGAGCCCAGCCCTGTTGTACCCCTGAAACTAAGGTAACATTGTGTGTCAACGCTACTCAAATTAAATAAATAAATAAACACACGCTCTCAAAAGGAGAAACAATAGAGTAGAATGTTAGAGCTGGAAATCACATTAAAGATGATCCAGTCTACTTGCAGATGAGGAGGGCCAGAGAGTACCAATGACTTCATCATAGCTACTAGCTTATAAAGCTGGTGGGTGAGCGGGCTAGCTCTAACCTTGGGCTCCAGTGCTCACAGCACACACACACACGCGCGTGCGCACACACACTAACAGAAACACAATCAAACACAGGCAGCGTATATATGAGTGATGAGGGGCACGGTCCGTCCTGCAGCTGTACTCGCAAGCCTCACACCCAGCGCAGCTGCCTGTCCTTCACGAAGACTGCTAAGCTGTTCCAGCAAACATCTACTGAGAAGCAGAATTCTTTTTTCTCTCAAACTAGCTTTGGGATGTGAGTCTTCCGTTATCAAAATTACCCCAGCTGGATGGCAAGGGGAGCTGTGTGTGTGTGTGTGTGTGTGTGTGTGTGTGTGTGTCTAAAGGTTTGGAGCTAAACTCCATCATCTGAGCCCTCGGGTCCCCCCGAATTGAGCTGTTTAGTGGCTCTTTACCCCCTGCTCTTTACACATTAGCTCCTTTTCTCCCACACTCAGGCTCTTTCCAGCGCCCGCGGTCTGGGGATGGGCGTCAGGCTTTCCAGGGGGACCCAGTCTACCCACTCATGAGAGGATACAATCTCCTCTGCCTAGCTGTGGGTGACAGCTTCTCCTAGGATCAATCACACTGCTGTGCTCTGCAGCCCTGGCCACGCTTTGTCCATGGAGAGTGGGCACTGGTCTCTGATTCTGTAGGGAGGGGCTGTTCCTCCCATGCTTGGGGAACAGCGGGGTGTGCCTCTGCCCCGTATATAGCGGCTGAGGACAAGTCTCCCAGGGGCACAGAGTCGCCCTGCGGTGGGACTGCTTCCAGCCACCTCTCCACCGAGTCACTTCCGCTCCCCGAGTGGCACTTGGGCTCAGAGTTCCTGGGCTGAGTCACATTGCGTCAGGGCAGGATGGGCCTCAGGGACCACCCAGGAGGAGAACAAGGGAAACACTTTGACCAGAGCCTCACGTGGGGCCAGGAATAGAGCCCATGTCTTTGACACTCAAATCACAGTGGACCAGGCTGCTTCTAAAGGCGGCAGGGGGCGGGGGGGGGGGGCTCTTAGAGCTGGAAGGGCCCCGCCCATAGGACCCTCTCACCACAGGTGTGTAAACCATCCCACAGGTGGCTGTTAATGGCTCAGACAAGCCAGTGGGAAGCTCCAAGACGGGCCTGTCACCAAGGGCCTGGTGGCTGCTATATGCCCCTCGGGTGTGAGAAGGGCTACACCTGGGGCCAGGTACTAGCTGGTATCGAAAGATGTGGCTGCCTGGGAGGCCTGGCCAGAGGCAGGCAGGCAGGCAGGCAGGCAGGAGGGGCCCCGGGGTGGAAACAGCTTGGCTGGCAGAGTAGGCCCTGGCACCTGGCCACCCGTGGCCTTGCTCCTCAGCAAATGCATTTTCTTGTTTAAGTACCGTCCCCACCAATGCCCCTCTCCCCCCAAAAGCATAACATCACCGTGTTTTGCTTTGAAGGGGGAGGTGACTCTTTGCCAACAGATGTAATTCTCAGATTGGTGGGGCCTTTGGAGGAGGGTTGGGAGCCGGTTCCCCTTGGGGAAGGGCCAGTCTGGAAGGGCCGTCCTGCTTTGCTGGGCACTTTCCTTTTTCCATGTGGGTGAAAAAAAGTCCTGATTTTTCATACTCCACAGATCCAAAGGCCAAATATTTGCTGTCTGCCCTGCTTTTTCCATCTCAGGTAGAGGCGGCAGCTCTTCCTGGCTCCTGGGGAGGATGAGGGAAGACCCTGGAGGGAGGTGTTCTGGAAATCAACCCTTGTCTTCCCCTGCAGCCCTGCAGCCCGTGCCCCTGGGACGTTATGGGAGATCATGGAAGGTTTCCCAGAGACTGGACGAAAAACACATGGGAGCTGTCCCCAAAGGCCTCAGTGAACAGGAATTTGGCCCCACGTGGTTGGTGAGGTTGTTGGTTGAGAACGGGGAAAAGGAGGTGAGAGGCGCGGACCTTGGGGACCCAAGGAGGGAGCCCACAGACTTCCAGCCAGCACGCCAGGAGGACCCGGAGACCTGCTAACATGATACAGCCCGTCCTCCTCCCAACACTCATCCACATCAGCTTGTTTCTCTTCCACTCAGAGGAGTGGAATTGCCTCACTGAGTTTCAGGAAGGCAGGTCATGTGCTCCTAACTCCCTCCTCTATGGGAGCAGGATGTCTCCTCCATTTCAGAGGACTTCTGTCCTGTCTTGCCCTCACCAGATTTTCTCTTACAGTGTTTGTCGGGGATGTTGGTGGAGCCAAACCCTCCGAGTATGTGTAGCATCTTACCATCGTCATTAAGGTCCAGAGCAGTGTGGGCCCCAAGCCTGTGGTGAGATGTGGTCTAAGACCCTTCCAGAGGCTTCTGGGTACTGACCTACCCCAGGCCGGCAAACGGGGGTGGGTACAGCTCCCTAGATGTGGTAACTGAGAGCAGGAACTTCGTGGGTGAGGCTCCTCTCTGCAGCCAAGGGAACTCCCTGGGGTTGATTATAACTTGCTTGCCTCATCCCAGACAGCCCAGGACAACGGTGAGGCCATCGGGAAGCACAGACAGAGGGGCCAGAGGGAAGGAAGCGACAGACAGGCAGGAGCATGTTAGCCAGTCCTCTGGCCTGGAAGTCAGGCCCCTGGGCTCTGGTCCCCTGAATAGCCGTGGCTCGTAAGCAAGTTCCTTCTCCTATCCACAGGATCAGCAACATAATTTGTAGAGCCCAGTGCAAAATGAAAGCGTGAGGGGCCCCTGTTTAAGAGTTATTAAGAATTTCAAGACGTTAAACCTAGCATGTATGAGGGCTTCCGAGTGCGGGGACCTGTGGGGAGGCACAGGTTTGCACACCCAGGAAGCCGCTTCTACCTGTTTGGGCCTCAGTTTCTTCAACTATACAACATGGCGGCTGTATTCAGTCAGAGGTTTGTCTGTGAGCCCTTTCTTCACAGGAACCCTCAGCCCCTCCTATGTGAAAGACACAAACGGAGCTCCTTCTTCAACAACACCCGAGAGTAGAGTTTAAAGCCCTTTAGATGACCACGAAGGTCTTTTTCAGTCCCCACATTCAGGAAGTCAAAGAAGTGGGGAAGTTCTCACTGCCAGGAGCCCAGCACCTGCCCGAGGTGCTAGGGAAGGATTACTGACAAGCAGGGACGACTGCTTTCAAAACTGAAAAGGCTCCCTGTCCCATAGGATGATTCCAATGTCTGCTGCTCCCCCAGCCTGAAAATGAGTGTTAAGACAAAGTGTGCTCTTTCCCAGGCCTGAAGAAAGCCAGGCCCAGGTATGAGCACCTGGGACCCAGTCTCATTCTTGTGTCCATCCCAGGACCTGGCTGCAAGGGCTACGGTGGGGATGATGACCCAGTGCCCTGGGGAGAGCTCAGGCCTGGACCACACGCCTTCCCCAGCCGCTGTGTCCCTGGGAGGTCAGAGGGTGGGTCAGCCAGGGTTCAGAGGCAGGAAGGGCAGGGTCTGGGCTGAGGGACTTGGACCCAACAGGTCTCTCCTGAGGAAGGGGCTGAAGTTCCTGGAGGAGAATCCTAGGCCTGGCGCCCAGCAGAAGGCTAGGTAGGGGCTGCAGGAGCCTCTGAGATGGGTCCCCTGGATGGGGATTTAACGCGGCCGGAAGGCTGGGCTGGTGGCATCTTTTTGCGATGACCCGTTAAAGGGATCAGGAACTTCTCTGGAATTTACAACTGTTTTTAGGGATAGAGCAACGCAGAGTGAGAAGAGGACTGTGAAGGGGACTGTGTGTAAACTCTCCCCCCGCCCCTTCTCCTCTCCCCCTCCTCTAGACTTCAGGGCTCCCTCGGTCCTCCCGACCAATGTCTTCCGCAGGACGATCAGAGGGGCCCGGAGAGCCCGGAGCTCGCTCCCGGGGAGACGTCCCCTCCGCAGCCCCGCCGGCAGGAGAGGCGCCCGCCGCGCCCCGGGCGGGGTCGGGGGTGCGCGCGGGGAGCCCGTGGGGGGTCGCCTCGGGCCTCGCGCGCGCGGGGCTTACCTTTCATGGTCCCTCCTGCGGGGCCTCGGGAGCGCCCCGGGGCGGCGGCTCGAGCTGCCGAGTGGCCGGAGTTGGGGGGGTGTGGGGGGGAACCGGCGGCTCCTCGGCGGGAGCCCGCTCGCCGCCCTACGCGCCGCCCGCTCTAGCGCCCGGCTGAGGAGGCGGCGCGCCGAGGGGAGGGTCCGCGGGGTCGCAGCCGGGGGGCGCCGGGCCGCCCATCCCGCCGCCGCCGCCGCCACCGCCACCCGCGCGCTTCCCGCTGGAGGCCGGCGAGGTCTGCGGCCAGCCCCGCGCCCCGCGCTTCCCCTCCTCCCGCCTCCCCCTCGCTCGCTGGCGCGCGCTCCCTCCCTCCTCGTCACTCCCTGGGCCCCGGCCCAGATCCACTAGCTCGGTAGTTTCAAAAAACTGCCGCGGCCGGGCCTCTTTGTGCCGCCGCGGGTCCCCGACCCCGGGCCCGCCGGCTCCCCCTGCCCGCCCTGCGGCCGCGGCGCCCCCGGGGGAAGCGCGCGGGGGACCCCCCCACCCACCCCGAGCCGCCGCCCGCACGGGGGGCCGCCTCCTGGCTGGGCTGGGCCGGCGGGGGAGCGGGTCTCAGCCCGGGTCGGACTCCTCACCCGTCTGAGGAGTAGAGGGGACTGCGGGGGGAAGGCAGGATCCCCGACTTCCAGCCCCGGGCTGCCGGGGACTGGCCCCGCCTCAGCCCTGAAATTCCGCGTCCCCGCCAGCCCCTCAGTCTCGGGAAGGCCAGCGAGGTTGGTCACCCTAGCTCTGCCGCGCCGGGTGAGTGACTTGGGGCGGCCGCCTCATGTCTCCAAACCTCGGTTTCCTGCAGGAGGGCGTTGGGCCCCAGGCGCTCCCAAATTCTGTGATTTTGTACAATGACATCGGAGGGAAACTGACCTCAAGCCAGGAGTTGTGACTCTTGTCAGAGGCCCTCCTCCGGGGTCCTCACATGTCATTCTTCATTAATGGAACATTTCCTGCCCACCTTCCATGTACCAGCAGCCTCTGTGCCCAGCTCTGGGAGGGTGAGGAATACTCCACGAGGTTGCACCTGGTGAGGAAAGCCAACAATGAAACTAGTAATGGTGCGGAGGTGTGATGAACACTATACCAGGGTAGTGTAGGGAGCGAGGGGACTGCATCCCGGGGGCAACCCAGCCTGGCCTTTCCCCACATCCCCACACTTCCATGCCCACCCCAGTTTGGTCCTAAGAGTAAAGCAGGTAGGGCCAAAGCAGAGACACTTTCTTCTAAGCCAGGAACCGAGAAGGGGGCCACGAAGGGGGGGGGGGGGGGTGGGGGGGGTGGCAAGTTTCAGTTTGTAAAGCACATTCTCTCCGTTCTCTTACCACAGCCTCTAGAGCAGGAGCCAGGAACCATGGTGCCCATTTTACAGAGGTGGAGCCTGAGGTTCAGAGAGGCTGTGGCCCATCTAGTAGTAGGTCACGAAGTACTCTTTGAATCTGGATTCCGAGTCCACCTCAGCCTCCTGGGATTGCGGCATGAACCAGGAGAGCTGCTTGCTAAATACCAGGGGGATAGTCACATCAAAGGATTCCTTTGAATCCTTACCTAGGTTTCCTGTGTGTTCATGTATTTCATCTTCCCAGCGGCCTTAGGAGACAAACACTACTATTGTCTTCATTTTTTAATCGAGGAAACGGGGGGGGGTAGGAGAGATTAATCATGTGCTTACTGTCACGTAGCTAGGAAGTAGAGATCTTGGGACTTGAACCCTGCAGGCTAAATCTGGCGCCTGTGTGCATAGCTCCGTTATACCACACTGCCTCTCATAGTAGACACTCGAATACTTATTGACAGAAAGAACAGGCAAATGACCTTTAGTTTTCTCCATGCTTTCTTTACCTGCCTTGATCCAAGATGTTTAGTGACAAAAAGGGCCTAACCCTGATGTGAGGGAGGGCCCCCACCCCTCTCCCTGACCCTTTGCATTTGGAGGATGTATATAGCCTCTGGTATTGCTATGATATGCAAATGCATCAGCAAAGAAATGAAATAGGCCTGTGTCTGGCTGCACATGGGCCCTGAGTGAGCAGGGCTGGACCCCAGCCCTGAAGAGGTTCAGAGGATGAGCTCCAGTTCCGAAAGCAGGCAGTTGGAGAGGGAACCCAGCAGTGTGGAGTGGCAAGAAAGAGCTGGAGATGAGTTGGCAGGCAGGAGGGGTCAAAGCACTGAGATAGTTCAGAGGGAAGGCAGAAAGATGCGGATAAAGGATGATCACAGATCACAGATCACAGATCAAGGGAGGAGACAGGGATTTCCTAGAGATTACAACCAGCCCTTGGGTGAAAGTCTTCAGCTTCAGTTTCAGGCATCTTCTACCAACAGCTGGAGGGTCGGAGCCAGGGTCAACCGAAACAACCTCCTAGCTCTCCCACCCCGGCCCCGCGCCAAGAGACCAGATGATGAGGGGCTATCAGAATGGGGCTCAGGCTGGGACTTGGGCCCAGAGGCACAGACGACACAGGCAGGGTGCGGTGGGGTGGGATAGAGAGAAATGCTTAATATTCTTTATAACTTGGGCTGGGGGTTGGGTGCATTTGACTGTGACACATGAACCATACTTCTGTTGGAAGCCAGAGGAAATTGCTACAGGGCGGAGGTCATTTAGAGGGGGAAAAAACCAGAATCACTAATGGTGGAACCCTCTGTGTATTAATGAAGGTAGAGAGTCTCATGTCAGTTCTTGAGCAGTGCTGTGGTTTGCTCAGAACAGAACCCTCCAGGGAGCTCCCCCAGACTTGCTTTTGTCTTTTCTACTTCAGACACAAAACGTCTCCTTCTCCTAAAGCTCAGTTCCTCCCTCTGTGCCTTTGATCCTCTCCTCTCCCATCCTGTTCTTCACCAGCATTAGGACATTGCTTCCACTTTTCCTTCTTCAGATGTAACTTCAACCCCCAATGTTTGCTAAAATTGCTTCCTTCCTCTTAGTTGCCAGAATAATAGCCTTTTTGAAACTTGTATCCTCTTCAACCATTTTGTGGATTTAACACTGTATTAGTCAGGGTTCTCCAAAGAAACAGAACAAATAGCCAGGAAGCAGGAGACCCAGGGAAGAATTAATATTGCAGCTCAAGTCCAAAGGCAGTCTACTGACAGAATTCCCTCTTTCCCTGGGGAGGTCAGTTGTTTTTTTTTTCTATTAAGGTCTTCAACTGATTAGACAAGGCCCACCACGGGATGGAGCGTTATCTGCTTGACTTAAAGTCTACTGACTTGAATGTTAACCTCAACTGAAAAAACACCTTCCCAGAAGCATCTACAATACTATTTGACTAAACACCTCAGTACCGCGGCCTAGCCAAGTGGACACGTAAAATTAACCATCGCAAACACCGTTTGCAGTTCCTTCTTAAAAATCTCTTCTCCCCTGGTTTCTCTGATCCTACATACTTCTGTTTCTTCTAAGCTTCTTTGACTTCTCTTTCTCTAATAGCTTCTCCTATTCAGTATATTTTCTAAATATAGGCATTCCCTAGCCTGACACTAGTCAGTATAAGTAACACTCACTGTTGTGACAACAAACCCTACATCCCACTATCTTAATACAACAAAAGTTTATTTCTCACTCACATCATAATCCCGGGTGGGCTGGGCAGTTCTCTTCCAGATGGTGACCCAGGGACCCAGGGACCCAGGGACCTTCCATCTTGGGAAGAGAGGATGGAGGGCCACGCATAGGAGGATTTTAGGGGTTGGGCTGGTGTACAGCACTTGGACCCATATTCCACTGGCCAGATCCTACCTAACAGCGAGAGGGCTTGAAAACAGAGTGAGCTGTGGGCCCCGGATGGAGAAGAGAAGCACCGATCAGTAGGTGCTGGCATTCTCTGCACAGTCCATCCTCCCGGCCACTAAATGTCTGTTTGCTTCTTTGTCTTCACACATAAAGCACATTTACTCCCCACCCCCTGCCCCGGGGTGGGGGTAATCAACTCCACGTCCCGCCTGGGCATTGCATCGAGCTCACAGTCCAGGCTCTCCCTGGGATTCTGTCTTTTCTGTCAGCTCAAGTAGCTCCAATCTCAAATGGAGGAGCATGGATCAGATGGCCACAATTAAAATGCCCATTTGGAAAAGGGAGGAGAGAGAGAGACAGAGTAGCTTTAGGTCTGTGGATATTTTGAGACCCCCTCAGTTGCTGTAAAGACCCCTAACCCCGGGATGGGGGAAGGTCTTTGCTTAGGCCCTCGTTCAACCCTCTGGAGGAGCTCTCTTGTTTATTATACCCTAGGCTATGCTCTCTAGAAGAACCTTCCTGGCCTGCCACCCTCTTTGTATACATCTGAAGTGGGTGCTGGGGGCTGAGTCTTCCCTGGAGTTGCTCAGTTCTCCACAGTTCACTTCCTTCTGGAGCAGGGTTATTTTACAGCTCCAATAGTTGAGATAAAAGGTAAAAGTCTGGGTATGTGGGGTTTTTTATGTGTTTGGTGGGTTTTGGGGTTTTGGGGGTGTGTTTGTGTATGATCAAGTCCCTAAAAATTTTAGCAAAGCCTCATCTATTTGCTTCTAGTCGATTCCATGCGCTGGTGACCATACCTAGAGTTTTTTCTAGACATCGTTTCCAAACCTGCTTTATTTCCTTGTTTCTGTCCCCTGTGCCTCTTTCTGTCTCTCAAGGGGCAGGTTGCTACTTTGAGGCTACAAGACTTGACTAGGACGGTCATATCCTTAATCTGATCTTTTCAGCAAGGCTGGGTCTTAATGGGCCTTTTCTGCTGTTTGGGATCTAGAAGCTGTTGGTGTTTTCCTCCCTATCAGGCTTAAATTTTCTGAACTCTCTCTGTTCCCTTCTATTTCTCTTTGCAAACCATCCATTTCTCCTGAGCTCATCTTTTTCTTAGATTGCTTTGCCAAATACAGCCAATAGCAGGAAACATAGGCTATCACTTTGATTCTTTCCAACAAATGCCCTTGAGCGTCAGCAGGCATGTGGTCTGCTGTCCTAGATAACACGGACACAGGTTACCAAATATGTTGCCACTGCATAATAAAGATTTTCATATTTCCAGCCTCTACTTGCAGGTTCT